GATAGCGACAACTCCATTTGTTGTTCCACTAGTTTTTTTATCAAATTTTTAAAATAACTTCTATATATTTATCTTTTGCAATGACTTTGCTTACCTGCTTCATAATCTCTTCCGTATGCCCCAATTTCTCTAACAGGTGAGATCTTATACTCGCTCTATTAAATTAAATTATCATTATAGTTTATTTGAAAATGCTTGGTAGCACAGTTTTTATGGCAAAGGTCCATATTTTTATATAATTTTGCTATTATTCATTTTCAAATAAACTATAGGAATAGGAGTAATCTATTAGTTTTTCTAAAAATACCTTGTTACCGATGTAAGTATATCTTTCCCTAGTTAAAAAATTCGAGTTTTCATTTTCATAATATAACATAAATAAATGACCGGTTAACAATCATATTCTTTTAAATAGTACATTTGACATTGAAGTAGGTATTTTCTCCATATTGCCAAATAGGAACAGATGGTTTACTTGTAATTTGAATTATATTACATAAATCTCACTGAATTTCTCTATAATTCTCATAGCAATATGTACACAAACCACTTATCCAATAATATATAACCATGTAAAAATAACATTTTAAGAACGAGAAATTTTATAAAACCGGTCCTGTCTGAACAGATCTAGGAAAATCAAATAGGTTTGTCAAAGTTTTGTTCTTAATTTGAAATTAGAAATTGTGCGTCTCACTCACTTATAACTAATAACAAAGTGCAGATTATCGGTGTTCACGTATTACAGAACACACAAACTAAAAGTCAGTGTAGCCAAAACATAAATTTACCTAACATGGCGACAAGCTTGAATGGGGTCATTTTTTTGTATTGACAGTATACGCCAAGCGGTATCTAGACTTTCTGAGGGCTATGGTTGTTCCATTTTATCATTGATAAGGCAACGTAAGGATACGTCATATGTATTATTTTTGATATACAAAAGTGGGACCGGTAGGCGTGGCTTTTGCACTCACTAAAATGGCGGAGGAGCAGAACCGGATTTACAAGTTTTTATTGTACCTACTATTTCTGGTTAAGTATCATTATTTGAATTATAAAAAAATTATTTTTCTTTTTATTGACATTGACTTAAAAGGTGGTGGAAGGTCGAGGTTATAAAAGAAGGGGATTTAAAAGCTTAAATATGCCCGGTTTTCAGCCGAGAGGTGCTGAATAAAGTAAATGAAAGAAATAAAATATAACTGATTTAATTATAACTCAAGTGGCTATTAAGCGCTGAAGAATATATTATTTGCAAAATTGTAACTAATCAATGACCATGATATAACCAACTTGGGGCCGATTCCACCATTGGGCTTAACGAAGTTTAAAATGACATTTTTACATAAAATGTAATTTTAATCTTCAATTAATAGTTTAAAATTTAACACAATGGTAAAATTAACCCTAAAGCGTTGAAATCATTCACAGAAAAAATAAATAATACATTTTTGGTTCACATAAGCGACAAAAGTAAACAGAGTTCGATTTATTGGATCAGTCGTCACACGTTTGCACTAGGGCACATAAATAGCTCAATCTTTAGTTTTTCGTTTTTCTATGAGCCCAATGCTTTCTGTCTTTAATTCGGAAAGTACAAGGTCGCAAATGTCAAGTAATCTAACCTTACTTTAATTAACAGCTTTCTCGAAATTAAGAACAAATGTTCATACACTAAAAGCTCGATAATCAGATACGAAACTTAATGCAAGGCTCGCGGAAAATGGCTAATAAGCAATCTCTGTGTAGGTAGATGCACTATTCAGGAAATCAAAATGTGGATTAATCTTACTTGGTCTTGGTACTTTTGTAGATTCAGACTGAAAGGTGTATATCTTCATGCAAGATATTCACTAAATCAGCGAAGCCACAACAAGTGGTGTGCAGGTGCATTTCTAACAAATGTAAAATATGAAGTGATCTTACTTGAGACCTATAGATCCAATGACGATATTATGGTAGTTGGTTTGAGCTGGGCTTCTCACCATCTGCAGAGATTATGGCTACTTATGTAAAGGCCTACCGTAGTAACACACAACATGCACCACAAGCGTGTATGATTGAAAGTCGACAAAGAATGTGAAGATAAAGTTGAAGTCTCAACCATAGTTAAAGTCACAGATGAAGTTAAAGTTAACAGCAAACGAGTTGAAATTGTAGGCTGGTGATAAGGGGAGGCCAACATCTAGGTAATAAATGTTTATCGAGTTAGGAAAAGTATCCACTGTAAGTGCTTTTCTTGACCACTAAGGTAAAAACCAGAATATTTCCTAATACACAATTTCTTCGCTAGGCAAAATAAGAAATAAATTTGTGAGAGTACTTCCCAAGTGTTTTTACAAAAGCTCTAAGAACAAAATTGACGAAAATGGTCTAATCCAAGTTCAAATTCTAAAACTTGAACATTAAAGATAAGTATCTTACTGTAAAACAAGTAAAACCCCGTTGTTGACTAAATGGTTGAATAATTCACTACCTACGTGGAGGTAGAATAGGGACTAAAGTTTAGCAGAAAAAACCACTAGAAAAGGTGAACAAAATAGACTGGGGCATATGAACATCAAGCAAATATTGTAAATGAAAATAATGTGTGCTGTGATTAAATAAAAGTGTACAAGGAATAAAGTTTTAATATTTTCTTATCCATATCTAGGAGTGATATTTATTTTTAATACTAGACAAACGGTTATGGTTTTATTGCTAGTCTCATTAAAAAAAAACTAAGTGAGTATTGATGTTAAATATTTATTATTATAAGAACTTATATGCACTATACAAACTTAAATATCATATTCCTGAATTCATTTCAAGCCTAAAATGTCCTATGAACAAATATCCAATTCCGCATGGTTACCAAGCTACAAGAGTTTAAATATCAAAAGATATATTAACATAGTAAACAACGTAAAAATGTCCAGTAAATATAATATTACACAGTAATATTTCTGAAATAAAAATTATAAATCTTTTAGAGATATTAAATAGTAATATTTCAGAAATGTATTCTAGCTTTTTTCTCTAAAATATTATTAGACTAAAAAAAAGACATTTATAAATATACAAAATACACAAAACTCAAATATTGATTCTTAAAACATTATTTCAAAAAATATAAAGGAATCACTTCATTTCCACAAAGTCCTTTAAATGCACTAATCTGAAACAAAGTTTTTTTTAATAAATGCCCCAAGTAAAGAAACATTTACGATTGTTACAATCTAATCATTAAGATCAATTAGAAATTTTATTCTAACTTATCAAGGGATGAAAAACTTCACAAACTGATATTCTACTTTCTAGTATACCTTAGAGTTTAAATCAGTTAACTGCACTTTACTCTGCTTTAACATCACTGAACTAACTCAAAAGGCTTGGTTCTCTTGAGTCTTCTTATTAGATTGGCATTGTTGAGGAGTTGGATAATCTCGAGGTTTCCATGTTGGAGTAGTCGTTGGTGACTACTGGCAAATTTTTGTGTTCTATTTTCAACAGTCTCCCCTTTAAGGTCCCTAAGAAGATCAGTATTGTGGCAGTACCAGGGTGCATCGACGATGTTCCTTAATACTTTATTCTGGAAACGTTGAATAACTTCAATGTCACTTTTACTGACACATCCCCAAAGCTGGCAAATCGCTTTATTTTCACCAATTCCTTTTAACACACTAATCTGAAACAAACTATAGGTAATTAAAAAGGTCTATTAATATTGTTTTAAATTAACCCTAATAAAACAAACAATACTCATGCATACACAAAACATGGAGTTCTACTTTTCAATCAGCTGTAGAAATAATAAATAAAACTGGTGGAAGGACAGCCAATGTAGGTTATATTTAAATAGAAATAAGAATATAAAAATGCCTATAAATTTGATAAACGAAATGGCGTACGATTAATGTACTTCTCAAGAAAATGCTTGGAACATATACAGCTAAATTTAGAAGGTTCCCAATTATGCTTGTTGACAAACGGTATTCAGGATTTTTTGGAAATCTATAAATATTATTTCGTATGAAAAATTATTCCAATATAGGTAGGCCCAAAAGTTAATAGATGATTTTTTTGCATTTTTAAAAGGATACTTTTACACATTTTATACAAACCTGTAATAATACTGTCCTGTATAATATTTATAATTTTGATACTAACCTATGAAACTTTATTCCAGTCGATTTTTCACAAAAACGTCTATCGCTAGAGCAGGAACGTATAACACATCAAGGCATTATATACTTTATAAGTGTGTAACACTCAAAATTTGCTCAAACACAAATTAAATTCAAATTTAATTACACAAATGACACTAAAAATATAACCTATAAAATTGACAAGTTGCACTCACAGTAATGGCGGACCCGGTCCCACTTTTCGATTACGCATGTCGTATCCCTAGGTTGCTAGATCAATGCATTTTATATAAGAAAACTGGGGAAAACTGATATTTATTTTTTAAAACAGCTGTCAGTGTCAAAGTACACTGAAAGGACTAACATGATCCCAGTTGTGTGCAAGTTCGGATATTTTATACGTGAAACTTTTAGAGAGCAGAACTACTCTAGTGCAATGTTAAATAAGTTTATGCACTACACGGTAGCTGCGCGATCTGTCCCCGTGCTAGTGGTGCGCCATTTGAAGACGCTATGAGTTGCGCAATGTGTAAACTGGAACATTGAGATCAAAAGTGCCGAGATAGAGTGAGCGAACTGATTCTTAAGCTATACACTGTGGTAATAGCACTCCTGCACTATGGAGTATTAGACTTCTAGTACAATCCATAACCTATATAGAACACGAGGCCAAAGACACCAAAAAAAATTTAGTCTGTCAAATTTTGATTATAATAAAAAAAATGGAACTGTCAAAGAAAATACATTATATGCAATTCTTGTATAAAGTGCTTTACGCACTTATTCTCATTGCATAAATGAATATTGTTGCATAATGATCTTCAGTTAAATTGTGACTTTTGTTTTTGTAATTTATTCCATTTATTTTAGGCATACTCAAATATTTTGTCTTCTGATGAATGGAGAAGTTTTTCTTGGAGTATGGATGTAACAACTGGACTTGCGAAGTTGATTGATATTAATCTCAACCGAACTCTCATTGAACGTACTCTTACTGAACCATTGTTCTCCAAGTATATGTACATGCGAAGCGCAAATTCTAGTCTATGGAAAATTTACCAAAGTAATTTTATATTTTTATACTAGGGTAATATTATTTAGTAGTATAATAGAGCTTTCTAAAATGCTTTTCAATAGGTAACACTTTATCAATAAAAAAGCTGAGGGTGGGTTGTACAAAAAATGATGTAATAGTGTATTACCGAGCAGATAAGTACTCTATTACAGCCGAGCGTCAAGGTAGATTACCGAGGTGCGAAGCATCCAGTTAAGCTACAGACTCGAGGCTAGAATGAGTTCCTCGAGGTATCTACACGATTTTATTCACAATCTCCTATTTTATATATTTTTAAAATAATAATATTGGTATGAATTTCTATCATAATTTTATAAAAATGTTTAACATAGATACCTGTGAAACCGTTGCTAAGTAATAAAACAAGAAGGTTGAATTTGACACTTAGATAATTAATTTGTCAGTTGTGACGCGTCTCCTTATTTCACTTGCGTAAGTCGTGGGTGGCACCAGGCTATTATCTAGAACAGGGATTTCCCGGGCACTCAAAGTGCTCCAGTGGAGTAATTCCAGGCAATCACTTAGCTATGGGGTAGTATTTTATATTCTCCGCAATTTTCACACGGTCAAAAATATAACTGTCAATACTGGCAGCAAACGGTTTTAACTCGAACTTAAGCACTCGGAAAAACAGCAGACGAAACAGCAGCAAAAGAGAAAGAATGCTCGATGAGGCTGGTTTTATACTTTCCTCTCGGACTAATTCGGTTTGATTCTACAAGCGGATAAAGGGAATTGCCATTTCGGTTTCTTAAGACGGTATTGTTGCTTGAACGGCTTGTGTTTTATGAAACGGGTTTCAGGTTGTGTCAGATCGGCCGGCTCCTATATGGCCAGGAAAGCGGCTAATTCGGAGTCCAAGAATCGTTCCAGACGCCTGACTGGATCGGCGGATAACGTCCTCTTGGAAACGGGGTTTATTATTTGCGGCAAAGAGTTTTTGGTAGCGGTTGTTAGGATTTGTCCCCCTTCACCGGATTCAGGAGACACTATCTCAATCCGGTCCAGCACACCTGCTGAATAACTCCACGTACGTCCCTTCAGAACCGATGGTATCTCAGGAGTTACTATACTGGTTGGATGGTTGGCACTGGTAACAAATGGTAACCTTGATGTGTCGTTCTGTGGTTTAGTGGGTGGAGGGCGGTTTCTCCCCAATCTCCATGATCTATCGCTCTATAGTTCGGAGAGCAGAGGGCGGTTTCTTCCCGATCTGTATGATTTCTTGCTCTATGGTTTGGAGGGCGGAGAACACTATCTCCCCGATCTCCATGATCTCTCGTTCTGCAGTTCGAGGGGCGATTTGTCCCCGATACGGTTTGAATGAACGGCGTACACCAAGGTACTTACTGCAATGGTATTTGGAGCTTTGGTTTGTAACGGATGAGCTGACGGTTGCTCTATGATCTTAATAGGGTAGCAAGATATCGGATGGGATGGAAGAGAAAGAATGTTAGATGAGGCTGGTTTTATACCTTAAGCTATGACTAATTCAGTTTCCGAGTGGGTGGGAGTGGGAGTTGCCAATATTTACAAATCGGAGGACTGAAAAAATGTTCTTTTGACAGATAATTTACATGAATTTGAGCATTTGAAGATGAATTCGAATTTCAGTAAATAATGAAATATTTTGAATTACTGGAGCTCTCGCAAATGTTATACGTTTTAACTGCCTATTGTACAACCCACTTTAAGCGATACTATTTTAGAGGATAAAAATTATCTGAGAGATATTTTTGAATTTTTGGGGTCTGAAACAGTTCATAGGGAGAAGTAATTCCACATACTTTTAATTCATGGGTTTCTTGAGTTTTTTGTAAGGAACAAAAATAGGTATATCATCTAAATTTTAAATTAAAATACTTCAAATAGTAACCTTTGTAACTTTATGGGTATACTCAAAAAATGTACATTTTCGTAATCCTTTATAATATATACAGGGTGTTACTGAACATTTTGACGTGAGGTTAGCTTGGGGTAAAGTGGAGGGGTATTAGAATAAAAAGTATGTAGAATTACGTACCTTTATACACTGTCTCATACCTCATACATTCAAGATTTCAACTTAATTCTATCAGAAATAAAACCGTCCGAAGTTTTCGCATGTACACCCGGTCTAATTTTGGTAACTACTGTTTCTATTTAAATACAATGCGAATGTGTTCCTCTCGACTACGGTAAAATACTTAGACATGTAGATTTTTTCTAATGAAGCACATTTCTACAATAAAAAAATGATACCAATTTCAACCTTTTTTACATGGTAGCTACACTCTTGGAAATTTTAAAAAACAATAGGGGTCGACTGATAGTTCACGTGACATTTTTAATTCTCTATACAATGGTGTAAATAATTTAAAATTTACTTTATTCGGTTTTAATTAATTTAAATTTAAAATGTGAAATAAACTAAACAAACAAAACACGACACTGGTTTATTAATTGAATTACATCATTCATTGTAAACTGTTAAATGTTTAAAATGCTCATATTTAATTTGGTAAGTTAAAAACTAATAAAAACTCTTTTAAATGAGCTATCTGTTGACCCCTGTTGTCATCTAAAATGTTCTAGGTGGTAGGTTGCACGAAATACCGTGGTGGTAGCTACCCTGTCCAAGTGGGCGAAGTTAAGATATATTTTTTATTGTAGAAATGCGCTTCATCAGAAATGAAAATCGATCTGTACAAGCATTTTCTTGAATATTTTACCATACAGGAGTTGGTAGGGAAGATGACACTTAACGTTCCCACTGTATATAAGCATGAATATTAATAATAAAAATAGAACTTTATCTTCCTTTTTTTAAAGACAAAATATCGTTTGACTACTCACTACTTTTTAAAATTTCATAAGATGTCACTGAATTGGTGCAATAAACTTCAAGAGGAGCTAGTATCTACACCTAATATAAAAAAAATCCCATACTTATACTTTCTAAAATGCACCATTTTTGGGATAAAGGGTGCCAAAGAATAAAAAATCGTTTTTTTTGCGAATATCTTCGGAACCGTTTGTCTCACAGAGATCAGCTTCTGGACGACTAGTATCCTTACAAAAAATACTTTTTTCCACTGCTAAATAAGTGGCTTTATATGAAGCAGTGGCCGAGATTTTGACAAGGGTTTGTGCCCTTAATGTCTATGCCAGTGAAAAAAAATGTTGAATTTTTTAACAAAAAATATACTCTTGATATTATTTTTAAAGGCAAACAGATTTCGAGAAAAAATACGTTTTCATAATAAAAAAACATGGAACTTTGAGAATTTGTCGAAATTGTTCGTTTGTATTGATAGGAACGGCATAAAAAGATTTTAAGATGTCCCCATAAATAAAAATCAGCGGCATTTAAATTGGATGACCGCGGCGCTTAAATTATTCTAGCATCAGCTCTTCTGCCGATCCATCGGCCAGGAAGTTGTTGGTGTAAAAGGGCCTAACTACAAGGCTGCAATGAACTGGTGCGGCGTCATGTAGATACCAAATCTGTTACCGAAGTTGCAAATCAACATCTCCCAAAAGTTCAGCGAGGTCATTTTGCAAAAAGTTAAATACTCGGCACCCCCTAATCTCTTAAGTAAAAAGGAATCCCAGCAAATTATTGCCCATAATCCTTTCCCAAAATGTTAACTTTTTATAGGAAACAGGTTTGAACAATGTTAAGAGGCTTTTCATTGGTGTATTTTTGTAAATTATGCAAATTTAGTCCTCCATCTATTGTAAATGTTTCGTCAGTGAACAAAATCAAAATCAGTCTTTACAAAATTTAGATCTTTCCAGTGAAGAGCGATCAATCATTTTCCGGCAAAATAGCAATGGGGTGATAGTTTTCTGGTAATGTAATGGGTGCAGGTTGTTTTCTCTAATAATTCTTTTAAAAGTTGTCCTAGGTATATCTAATTAATGAGCAACTCTCCTCACGCTGGTTTAGGGATTGGTTTCGAATTGCCTCAAAACTCGGGCTTCTATCGCAGTGTTTCTTTCTAAGGGTCTGCCACGATCTCTGTAATTCCAAAGAACACTGGCAACAACACACAAGGAATTCGTCTTCTTGGGTGAAAGAGCATGTACCTTCTTCGATCAGCATTTGCATTGCCTCGACAGTAGCCATAAGTAAAGTGAATATCTGCATATTATATTGATTATTTATTATTGTTCAAAGATATTAAAAAGTTAAAGGAATCGCGCCTGCTTTAATTTTCTTTTTTTCCACAAATTAAAAGACTTACGTGCTTGCTTCAAGGCAAAAGGAGGATATTTCGAAAATTTGATTGTTATAAACTCGAAAATTTTGTTTTGTTAAAAAGTACTAAAATCGTTGATATATTATAAATGATGTAAATGTTTTCACACTTCATTAAAATTTTTTTACTTTTCTTTTTTTTTTCTCGAAATCTATGTTTTAAAAAATTATCAAGAGTAATTTTTTTGTGTAGAAAACACCGGTTATTAAAAATTTTTACAGAACCTTTTTTAGAGACAAAAAACTCTTGCCAACCCCAAAATCTTCGATTACTTCATGTAAAGCCAATCATTTAGCAGTGAAAAAGTATTTTTTTTAAGATTCCCATTAGAAAGAAAGCTAAACACTGTGAGACAAAGGGTTCCGAAAATATTCGCATAAAACGATTTTTTTTAACTACCCTGTATTTTAAAAACGATTCATTTTAGGTATGTTTATATATATTTTTTTAATATTTTTAGGTGCACTATCTTTCGATTGAAGTTTTTTTGATCAATTCAGGTGCAGGGTGATTCTAAACGACGCTACCAATATAATATCGTAGAGAAATCTATAAAAATAAAGATACACATCGCTTTCCGGAAGTGTAAAGTGTAAATTTTGAGTTAATTATGGTATAATTATAAAGAAAATTGCATTTCTCCGGTGGAAGAAGGGTGTAATTCTTTCTCGAGGTACCTATTAAATATTTCCAAATTGTTGATTTACGTCTCAGTTGTAAGTTTCATATTATATTACATTACAT